TGCTCCTCTGATGCTGTCTGGCCCGCTGTGTTCCTCCAGCTCCACACCTTGTTATCTCTGACTCCGGCATCTGCAGTTCTTGCTATCTCTCTCTCCTAACCTGTTACTGTGCAGTTTTTCAAGGTTGCTTTTCTGCTTTAACACGGCGACATGTTCCATTGCGCCCTGCACAGTGCACTTATTCAAAGTAGTTGCAAAAGTTGTATCGTTGGTAAACAGAGCGCAGGAAAACGGGCTAATCTGTGTAGGCTGGTGTCTATGCCCTATCTTGGCAGCCTCCTGTCTTAATTTCACCTTTCAGCATTTTGGCGACATGTTAACAACTGCAAAGCCTGCGTGAAATCAAATACTTTCTCTATGTTGTATTATGGACATGCTTCCCAAAGTTCAGTCACCGGATACACTTCACAAGTAATTCTCATCGGCAGTGTCCAGGGGAGGGAATTGAATAAGGCGTACAGAGATCATGATCGGGTTTAGGTGTTCCAAGCTCTCTAAATCTGAATCTTTCCTTGCACACAGATCAACGCAGTCAACAGTGTCAGTAGTACAGAGGACATTAAGCCACCACCGGGCCTCAGTGGACTTGGAAACATGAACTGTTACAGCCCAAACTCAATTGCTAAACACATCTGTGCGATATGTGGAGATCGATCCTCAGGTAATGTTGCAAGCTGCCCTCAAAACTCTGCACTGGTGGTAAGTGTCAGTTTCGGCAAAAAAATTCACCTGAAAAATTTCCAGCCGTTACTTCCTCAATGACTCTGGTAACTCCTGTCAGTAAGCTCTCTTGTTGGCTGTGTTTTGTACATTATTCACCCAGGAGCCAGGTTGGCGTGACCTTGGGTAATACAAATGATACAGATGTTGCAAAAATTTGGAGGGGGGAGGTCAGCAGTGAGGAGGATAGACTGAGATTACAGGGGGAGGGAGACGGGCTGATCAGCGGCAAATGGAATTCCCAATCTGGGTAAATGTGAGATGATGCACTTGGGCAGGACAGACAAGGCAAGGGAATACATGATGGACGGTAGGACCCTGGGAAACACCGAGGATCAGAGAGATCCTGGTGTGAATGTGCACTGGTCCCTTCAGGTTAAGGGAGGTGGATAAAGTGGTTGAGAAGGCATCTGGTAAACTTGCCTTTATTAGCTGAGACACAGTTTAAGAGCAGGGATGTTATGCTGGAGCTGTATGAAATGCTGGTTAAGCCACAGTTAGAGTGTGCAGTTCAGGAATCCACATTATAGCACTAGAGAGAGTACAGAGGAGATTTACCAGGATGTTATCTGGGCTGGAGGGTTTCAGTTCTGAAGGGAGATTCGACAGACTGGGGTTGTTTTCCTTAGAGCAGCGGAAATTGAGAGGGGACGTGATTGAGATGTGTAAAATTATGAGGGGCACAGTTGGGGTAGACAGGAAGAAACTTTTTCCGTTGGTGGAGGATTCAGTGACCAGGCAGCATAGATGTAAGGTAAGGAGCCGGAGGTTTAGAGGAGATGTGAGGAAAACAGTTTTCATGCAGAGGGTGGTGGGAATCTGGAACTCACTGATTGTAAGTGGGGGAGAGACAGGAACCCTCAGAATATTGAAGTATCAGTCTTAAGTATTTAAATGCCGAGGCATACAAGGCTATGGGCCAAGTGCTGGAAAATGGAATTCGAGAAGCTGAGTGCTTGTTTTTGACTGGTGTGGATGCAGTGGGCTGAATAGACTTTTTTCCAAGCTGTAGATCTCGATGACACTACGAGACTGTTGACTCAAGTTTTTAGGGCTGAGAGGATGCCACAGTGACAGAACTGACTTCAATGAGTGAGCACAGAAGGAGACCATTCGACCCTTTTATGACTGTACTGCTTCTTACTCATACATCCCTGAGCTTTCACTATTATCCTGCAGCTTTATTTCCATTCAAGTATTTATTTATTCATGTATTTGCCTTTGAAGGTTGCTGTCGAATCTGCGTCCAGCACGTTTATAGCCTGCGCATTCCAGGTCATAACCCTTTGCTGGGTAGACATTTCATCCTCCTCTCCCTAATAAGGACACAGGTTCGGAGCAGAATTAGACCGTCTTGGCCCTTCTTAACATTGTGAGAGAAAAGGTTTCTTCTCAAATCTGTCATAAATGTTTCTGTCTTTACCCCTTTCTTTTTAAACAGTGGCGTCTAGTTTTAGATTGTCATACACATCCTTTCCACAGACACCCTGTCAAGGCCCTTGTAGGGTTCTTTTGCCAGTTTCTTGAAATCCGCACCCTTATTTGCTCAAGTTCCATCATCACTTTGAATTCCTCTAACTTTTAGCCTTCTCTGCAGAAAATGGAGCCTCTTTAAAAGTGCTCATTGGAAGTTCACTGTGGATATTGGGGAATTCTTTTCACAAGGCTTGCTAGAAATAATTGATAATGACAGCTTACTTTGCTGTAGACCCTCCTGGGGTTTGTTTGTACATCTACCAGATTGGAAAGGTTCTTGGTTTGTCTTGTTCAGTTGATGGGAAGCCTTTGGGCACAAGCCAAGTTGGAGGAAAGCTTGCTGTATGAACAAGCTGCCCAGCTGATGCTTCCAATTCTGAGAAGCAGACCCTCTACACAAGGTCAGAATGAAAGCTTATGTGCTCTTTTGAAAGATTGCATTTTCTGAATAGCCTGTATCTACAAGACATCAGTGATGACTGTGTCTACTTTGTGACTTAACCACATATGCCAGAATATCCCACATGTTGTCCTTGAAGACTAACCCATTAGTAGGTGTTTTTTTCCTCACCAAGCCAATCTCTGCAGAGAAATCTTTTTATCCTTTTTTTTTGCCTCTGTGTTTGTGTACTTGTTTTGGTGATATTTACAGGGATAATCATCCCAACCTCTATATTACAATGTACACTGACAAATATAAATCTTCATTCAGGAAGTTTTGTTTTAAGAGTAAATCTGTAATTTTGTTCGTAAAGGAACTTGCCTGGCAGACCATCTTGTATGAAGCTTATTGTGGGTAAGGTAGTCAGTTAGTCATATTGGTAACTGGAAAGTTGTTACTGTAAGTTGAGAGTGTTGTGGGCAGCACGGTGGCTAAGTAGTTAGGGCTGCTGCCTCACAGCACCAGGGACCGGGGTTCGATTCCAGCCTTGGGTGACTGTCTGTTGTGGAGTTTGCATGTTTTACCCATATCTGTATGGGCTTCCTGTGGGTGTAAAAGATGTCATGAGGGTAGATCAGGGACTTTTCAGTAGTGTTCTGACCAGAATTCATCCCTCAATCAATGTAATTTAAACAGATTATCTGGTCATCTTTACATTGCTGTTTGTGGGATATTGCTGTGTACAAAATTGCTGCTCCCATTTTTTTCCAAATTTTGAACACTGACTCCACTTTAACTGTATTGAATAGCTGTAAAGCACTTTGGAGCACCTTGAGGTTATAAAGGGCGCTACTGAAATGCAAGTCTCTTTTTAATGTGTACAAGAGCACAACAGATTTAAGTGGAGCTTCGAAAACTATTAAATGATTGATGAGCACAGCAATTACATTCAAATCTCTTGCATTATGAATGCTTCAATTAGGGCACTCGACATTTCTATGTGGGCTTGGATCCCAGGTCTAAGCAGGCACTTCAATCAACAGGCACAGGAACAAGCGATGATTGCAATAATGAATGGCAGTGTTTGCAAACAGTCAGACCTCGATCTTCCATGGCCCCAGCTCAGTCTCCATTCACTGCAACCACCTGAAACCCTTTGATGTGAATGTGGGAGGATTCCTGCAGAGCAGTGTGGGTGGGTAGGGAGATTGAGAGATTTCTCTTCCTCACCGGACTAAGCAGGTGTAAGGGGATCCTGGGAACACAGGGAATGTGGCTGTGCCCATCATTGAGAGCTATAGAATGTGGACTGGGTGTCCATCAGCCATCCTTTGCTTTCCGCAGTTGGAGTTGTGTGCACTGTGAGTAACGTTCAGTTCAGCGCAAACACCAGCAAAGGGATGATGCTGATGTGCTGGTAATGTTACTGAAGGCCCAGGTTAATGCTCTTTCAAATCCCACCATGGCTGCTGGTGAAGTTTCAATTTATTTGTTAAATCAGGAATATAAAACTAACTTCAGTGATGGTTATCGTGTCTTTGATTGTTGTAGGAACCCATCTGGTTCACCGACGTCCTTTAGGGAAGGAAATCTGCCGTCCTCACCCGGTGTGGCCTACACGTGACTCCAGACCAACACCAGTGTGATTGACTCTTAACTGCCCTCTGAAATGGTCGAGCAAGCTGCTCATTTCAAGGGAAATTGGAGATGGCACTGCCAGTGATGCTCATAGCCGAGGAAAGGATTAAAACAAGGGAGGTGTTTGAGATTGACATTTGGGTCTAATACAGACTTAAATTTTTGCAATAAATGTCTTATCCCATCCTTAAAAATGGTTTACATGTAAATAAGCACCAATCAGCCCAGAAATGGAAAATGATCAATTGACCTCCTTCTCAGTTTTCCTTAAATTAACATCACCATCGGCTGGGAGAAAGCCCCTCTGTAGGTGGGACAGCACAGAGAACAAGCCATTTGGCCCAACCAAGCTCATTCTAGTCTTCATGCATACATTACACCCATCTTCCTCCTACCTTAGAACAACGTCCACCTGGGAGAGAAATTGGGACTTAGATACAATGTGTCATCTGAAAACCAGCATCTCTGACACAGTAGCACTCCCACAGTACTGCACTGGGATGCTATTCTGGGTCTTGTGGTCAAGACTCAGGAACTGTTTTGGAATGTGTTCTTCTGTTCTTCATACCAGTATTCAGACCAGAATTCTTTTAAGCAATGTTTGTTACATTATATACATGGTGATTGTACAGCAAACAGTTCGAGCTCCCAGCTCTGGTGCTAATAAGGTCTTTAACAAATTACATTCCCCCTGAATTGACAGCTGACTGCTGCCTTGTGAGGAACACACCACAACATCTGGCAGACACGTGAAAGATGCAACTAGTTGCTGCTAACGCTTTATCAGACTGCCATACATTTCACTCCAGCCCACATCGTTCAGCTCCCAACAAGCTTCCACCTGAGGAAAGTATTTTCACACTCACAAAGTGTGGTTAGGATTTGAAATGAACTGCCTGAGAGTGTGGTGGAGGCAGGTTCAGTCAAGGCTTTCAAAATGAAACATGGCTATTACCCGAAAAGGAGGATTGTTGAGGGTCACCGAGCGTAGTAGCACTGGGCGATTTCCTGCTCCCGGAAGGCCAGCACAGACACAGGGGGCCGAACGACCTCCCATTCTGTAATTGTGTGCGGTGGCATCGCTCTGTTGCTCAGTCTCAATGTGTGCTCACCCTCATCCTCGCGGAGCTAGCTGTAACCTTCTCCGCATTTCTCTCTCTCTCTCTCTCTCTCTCTGCAGGAAAGCATTACGGGGTGTATAGCTGTGAGGGCTGTAAAGGCTTCTTCAAACGGACTGTGCGCAAGGACCTTACCTACACTTGTCGTGACACCAAAGACTGCATCATCGACAAACGGCAACGCAATCGTTGCCAGTACTGTCGCTACCAGAAATGCCTGGCCACGGGGATGAAAAGGGAAGGTAGGTGCCAGTGACTTCGTCCCTTCCCAATGTACCACTGACCCAGGGATGGTTGGATCCCAATTTGGATCCATAGCCATGACCCACACTTTACTCATGAGTGCCCCCTGTTGGACACTCGACGTGTAGGACGGTGGTAGAGGAATTGCTACTCAATCTAACCCCACGCTGGGCAACATAGAGTAGGTTTTATAACAAATAAATGTTTAGCTAGTGCCTTTAATGTAATAACGTTTCCTAAGGAGCTCCAGTGTTATCAAACATAACCAGACAGCAAGCACACAAGGTGATGCGAGTGCAGATTGCCAAAAGTTTGGTTCAAGAGGCAACTTCTAAGGAACATCTTAAAGAAGAAAGAGAGGAAGGATAAGAATTTATATTCCAGAGCTTAGGGCCGAGGCAGTGGGAGGCACAGCCAGCAATGACACAGCAATTAACATCGGGGATTCTTAAGTTCCCAAAATCAGATGAGTGCAGCTTTCCCAGAGGATTATGGGACTATGGGAGGGATATGAAGAGAAGGGTGAGAAATTTTAAATGAAAGCAATAAAATTAGTTTCTCATCAGCATTCCTTTAGCCACAGAGGCTGGCATTGACAGTCCCCCTCCCCTCAGACTGACAGTCCCCCCTCCCCTCACGCTGACGGTCCCCCCCACCCCTCACGCTGACTGTCCCCCCTCCCCTCACGCTGAATTCCCCTCCCCTCACGCTGACAGTCCCCCCACCCACTCACGCTGACAGTCCCCCCACCCACTCACGCTGACAGTCCCCCACCCACTCACACTGACACTACTGCCCAATGCATGCACCCCCCACCCCCAACGTTGACGGTTAGTCCCGGGCGAACATTGTGTGTGACATGCACATGCTAATCAAGGACGTCTGCATCTCTTCTCAAAATTGATTGCCAGCAAGTTTCATGTTGAATAAGTAATCCGTACAATGAGCTTTTGGCAAAAATAAAACTGCTATTTGCTGCAGATATTCTGTGGAATTGTTTTCTTCCTGGCACTCAGGAGGCTCAGTAACAGGTTGGAGAACCCGTGGTCTGTGCAAACTCATAATGAGGTTGCATACGAGAGGTTAATTATCATATTGAAAGGGCCTGAAATTGGAAGCAAGCTTCTAATCTTAGTCAGACAGAAGATGGGAAACAGTGACTAGGGCTGTTCCGATTGACTGGATCTGATTAGTGACATCCCCTCGTGTTCTGTAATGGAAGGTTAGCTTTTCACTTCTCAAAAGTATAGGTGAACAAGTTCATTGTCCTACATCCAAGTCTGCAGACAGCACTGTGTCAGGTGCCACTCCAAAGAGCTGAAAGCTAATCGGGGACCTGCAGCTGCTGGGAGAGGGCAGGACCTCTGAGGGATTACACTGCCTGGACGAGTGCAGCTCCGACAATACTCAAGAGGCTCAGTACCATCTAGAAAGGACAAAGCAGTCAACTTAATTGGTAGCCTGTACACCCACTTCAACATTCACTTCCTTCACAGGTGGTGCTCAGTGGCAGCAGTAGATACCGTCTATGAGATGCACTGCAGTAGTTCACTGAGGTTCCTTCAGATAGCATTGCCCAAATCCATGACCATTTGCATCTAGACAAACAAGGGCAGCCAGCGCATGAGGACACCATCCCCTGCAAGTTCCCCTCCAAGGCACTCGCCATCCTGACTTGGAAATTTATCGCCGTTCTTTCACAGTCGCTGGGTCCCTTATAAATCTTTCCCTTCTCATCTTAAAACTATGCCGTCTAGTTTTGGACTCCCCCACCCTGGGGAAAAGACCCTGCCTATTTACCCTATCCATGCCCCTCATGATTTTATAAACCTTTATAAGGTTACCCCTCAGCCTCTGACGCTCCAGGGAAAATAGCCCCGGCCTATTCAGCCTCTCCCTATAGCTCGAGCCCTCCAACTCTGGCAACATCCTTCTAAATCTTTTCTGAACCCTTTCAAGCTTCACAACATCCTTCCTATGGCAGGGAGACCAGAATCATACACAGTATTCCAAAAGTGGCCTAACCAATGTCTTGTACAGCCGCAACATGACCTCCCAACTCCTATACCCAATGCACTGACCATTAAAGGCAAGCGTAGCTCTCCGCTGAGAATGTGAGAGGGTGGTGGGTGGGGGAGATGGCTCAGGCGAGATAGTGGAAAGCAATTAAAAGCTTTGAAGGGGCAAGTTCACAAGGTTCCCCACACCCCCACCCCCACCCCCACCCCCTGCCCCGATTCCACTCAGGGTAAAGTGAGATGTATTTCTGCGACCTGCTTTTCTGCACAACATCCAATTTGCTTTCAGCCGTTCAAGAGGAAAGGCAGCGGGGGAAGGAGCGAAGTGACAACGAGCTGGAGCCCAGCAGCAGCGTCAATGACGACATGCCAGTGGAGAAAATTTTAGAAGCGGAACTAGCTGTGGAGCCAAAGACAGAGACATACGTGGATGCCAGTGCAGGAAATTCGGTGTGTAATGCAGATTCCCTTCCAACTGTCTTTCTGCTTAACGTAAGAACAATTACCACGACTAAACTCAAACGTAGTTTGAACTAAAGCATTGTGCACGTTTAAGTATGTTGGCGATCACTTGGGTTCCCACTGGGGTTGCTGTCAGTCACAACACTGCCCTGTATCAGCTGTCAGCAGGGAATCTTTTTGAGATGTGGTCTCTCCTGTCTTGTGTAGACCAGCAGTAGGCAAATTGCTGGCACTTGCACACCTCCCACTTTGCTGGTCTGGTCCACCTAATTCCCCATCAGCACAGGCTTCCTCCCCAGTGTGTGGTGATGAGTGGGGTCACAATGACATATTGTCATGAGACTCGGTCCCCTTCGGCAACTTTACAGTTGCCTGGTTAGGTGCTAAGAATCTGATTTTGTGGATAGGTACCGCAGCGACCTTTCACCCTGCCTTTGGGTTGAACAAAGGTAAGACTGGTGAGTTGAGGATTTCCACATTCTGCTGACTGTGTTTGATGGCAACAGTGTTGAAGAGGCTTTACTTCCAGTTTAAAAGCATAGAGGGAGCTTTACTGTGTTTCTAAGCCCCATGCTATCCCTGTCCTGGTGACAGTGTGAACGGAACTTTACTTTCAGTGAAAAGAGTAGATAGAGTCTTATTCTGTATCTAACCCTGTTCTGTACCTCTCCTGAGAGGGTTTGATAAGAACAGTGTAGAGGGAGCTTTGATTTGTTCATTCTAAAAGATTGGATAGCTTTCCTTTCAGTTTAAAAGGGTAGGTGAAGCTTTGCTGTGTATCTAACCACATGCTGTCCCTGTCCTGGGAGTGTCTGATGAGGATAGTGTTGAGGAGACTTTATTTACATTTCAAAAAAGGTAGCTGTTTGTAATCCCTTGCTGTCCTTGTCCTGGGCATGTTTGCTGGGGGACTATGTCACAGGAGCTTTACTTGAAGTTTCAAAGAGTACAAGGAGCTCTACTCTTTATCTAACCCTGTGCTGTCACTGTCCTGAAATTGTTTGCTGGGGACAGTGTATGATGTGGAGGTGCCGGTGTTGGACTGGGGTGGACAAGGTCAGAAGTCACACGACACCAGGTTATAGTCCAACAGGTTTATCTGAAAACACAAGCTTTCAGAGCCTCACTCCTCCTTCAGTGTTAGTGAGAGAGGTAGTATCAGACACAGAATTTATAAGTAAAAGATCAAAGGTTCACACCATTGATGAGGACAGTGTCGAGGAATCTGTACTCTGTATCTAACCCCATGCTGTCCCTGTCCTGGGAGTTTTTGATGGGGACAGTGTAGAGGGAGTTCTATTCTGTATCTGATCCTGTGATGTCCCTGTCCTGGGGGTGTTTGATGGGGACAGTAGAAGGAGCCTTTCTATGTATCCAACGCTGTGCTCTCCCTGTCCTGATGGTGGGTATGCTGGAAAGTGTATCTGTTTCCCCATACTTCCATATTCTTACATTTCTATGCATGCTTACATAGGTCGATCTTCCATGCTTGTGTGTACCCACATGTATGTGTGAGAGCTGCAATGCAAAAACACAAGAATTAAAACAAGGAATTAGCCATTTGTCTCTTGGACCTACTCTGCCATCTAATAAAATTGTGGCTAACCTAATTGTAGCCACAACTCCAGTCTCCTATCTACCCCCAATAACCCTTTGACTCCCTTTATTGATCGAAGATCAATTGCACCTTTTTGCTCATTCATGGGATATGGGCCTTGTTGTCTACTCAAACATGTATTACCCATCCATAATTCTCCTTGAGAAGGTGGTGGAGAGCTGTCTTTTTGAACCGCTGCAACTCATTTGGTGTAGGGATACCTGCAGTGCTGTTTGAGAGGGAGTTCCTTGATTTTGCCCCAGCAACACTGAAGCAACAGTGACATATTTCGAAACCCAGATATCATATGGTTTGGAGGGAAACTTGCGGATGGTGGTGTTCCCATGTACCTACTGCCCTTGTCCTTCTAGATGGAAGTGGTCGTGGGTTTGGAAGGACCTGTTTTAAGAAGTCTTAGTGAATTTCTGCAGTGCTTCTTGCAGATGGTACAGAATATACATAACTGCAACTATAACTGTGCATCAGTGGTGGAGGTAATGCACAATTGTGAATGTGATGCCAGTCAAGTGGGCTGCTTTGTCCTGGATGGTGTCAAGCTTCTTGAGTGTTGTTGGAGCTGCACCCATCCATGCAAGTGGGGAATATTCACTCACACTCCTGACTTGTGCCTTGTAGATGGTGGACAGGATTTGGGGAGTCAGGAGGGGAGTGATTCGGGGCAGGATTTCTAGTTTCTGAGTTGCTCTCGTAGCCACTGTATTTATAGTTTCTATTCAATGGTAACCCCGAGGATGTTGATAGTGAGTGTTTAAGTGGTGGGAATGGCATTGAACTGTAAGTGGAGATGGTTAGATTCTTCCTTGCTGGAGATAGTCAATGCCTGGCACTTGTGTAGTGAGAATGTAACTTGCTACTTATCAGCCCAAGCCTAGATATTGCCCAGGTCTTGCTTTGAACATGCTGTGCTCTAGCAGCTGAGGAGTCACGAATGGTGCTGAACATTGTGCAATCATCTGTGAACATCCCCACGTCTGACCTTATGATGGAGGGAAGGTCATTGATGAAACGTCTGAAGATGGTTGGGCCTGGGACACTCCCCTGAGGAATTTCAGAGGATGGTTAAGAGGCAACCACGTTGCTGTGGGTCTGGAGGCCACATGTAGGCCAGCCCAGAGAAGGACAGCAGATTTCCTTCCTTCAAGGACGTTCGTGAACCCAATGTTTTCACAACAATCAACAATCGCCTCATCATAATATAATTCAAAATTGAAAAAAATCTTGAATTAAAATAAGGTGGAATTCACACCTGGGTAGCCAGAACGTTATCTGGGTCTCTAGATTACCAGCCAAGTGACAATACAACTATCCACAAGTTCCACAGTCATTAACAGCCCCCTCTTTGAAAACATTCTTCTCATAAAATCCCTACAGGGTGGAAAGAGCACCAACCTTCTGAAAAACATCCACACACACTGTTGCCCGAGGCTGGAATTAAACCCAGCTTCCTGACGCTGTGAGGTGGCAGTGCTAACCACTGAGCCACCATGCCACCTCGTCTCTGATTAAATGGGAAAACTCTTCTTTTTAAACAGCCCCCTAATTCTGGACTCCATTACAAGGAGAGATATCTCATAGCATCCACTCTGTCAGGTGCCCTCTGGATCTTTCCATGTTTCATTAACATTCACCTGAACTCCAAAAGATATAAGCTCAACCTGTCAAACCTTTCCTCATAAGATCACCCATTCGTCAAATGAACCTCATCTGATCCATTAATGTATGCAAGTGTGACTATTTATTTGTATGTGCATGCTGCTGCATATGTGTATCTATGCTACAGAGTCATACAGCGCAAAAACAGACCCTTTAGTCCAACCTGTTGTACTGACCAGACATTCCAATCTGACCTAGCCCCATGTGTCAGCATTTGGCCCATATCCCTCTAGACCTTTTCTATTCATCTACCCACCCAGATGCCTTTTAAATGTTGTAATTGTACCACCCTCCACCACTTCCTGAATGTGCAATAATGGGCCCACTTTTCTGCATCTGTATGTGTGCATCAGAGTAGAAAGTAATTATTTGAAGAGCTTTTGAAATTTTCTCAGTGGCTGCTTCTTCATTCTCTTTAATTTGTTTATTGCCTGTGCAATAACGTTAGCTTCTGTATTTGTTTTTTCACGTGGGATATTCGGACTCTCACAGTAAGAATTCATCCAATATCTTCAATATTATCAACACCCCTTCCCCACTCAATTTGAGGCGTTGATCTCCAAAAGATCACAATATTTAAACTGGCACAAGACCACAGGCAAATGTTAGCAACAAAATTAGATAACTTTTTCACACAGAGGGTGGTGCATTGTCGAACGAGCTGCCAGAGGAATTGGTGAAGGAGGGTACAACTACAACATTTAAGACGCATCTGGATGGGCACATGAATAGGAAGGGTATAAAGGGATATGGGCCAAACGCTGACAAATGGGACTAGGTTAGATTGAGGTGTCTGGTCGGCACAGGCGAGTTGGACCGAAGGATCCTTTTCTATGCTGTATGAGCTTATTACCGACATGTACTTCCGCACACAAAAAGCCATCATCCTGAACCCACCTTTGGTAGATCTGATTGCTCCTTTGTGTTGAAATCGTATCTCATTCCATCTCTGTGAGGAAGCAGAAAGCCATTTAAGTGTGATAAAGCGTGCCCTGGAATTTGTCTGAACTGAATTACAATGAAATAATCACTTAAAACCTGAGCTGAAGTGTCCCCCACTATGACAGCTAATAGGCTAATTTAAACATTGCTTGGCTCACGCCCATTTTGTGTTCGACTCTCAAACTTTCATTTGATAGGGAAATAAATGATCAAAACTTAGACAATGCAACATAGACACCCATAGCTGATTACACACCAGTTGCATGCAAACAAAAAGAGAAATTGCTGGAAAAAAGTTAACACTTTCCCCTCCCCCCCCCACCCCCCACCCCCCCCCCCCCCCCCACACAGTGTCTCCCAGGCTGGGCTGTGCTGATTTCAACACATTTGAGGTTGGGCTAAATCGAATTAAAGACACACCCTCACTCAGACGAAAGCTGAATTGAATCTGGGCCCCAAAACACAGAGGAAAATGCAGCAAAGCCTCTTCAGGAATTTAAGGTTTTTGCAAGGGTCTGTACCTCGGGTTGTGGGAGAGGTTGTTGACTTGCTCGCCGAGCTGGCTTGTTCTCGTTCAGACGTTTCGTCACCATGCTAGGTGACATCATCAGTGGACCCTCCGAGAAAGCGATGTTATTCTACTCTGCTTGGAGTTTATATGAAGCGATGTTGGCTTTCATTGGCATAGGAATTGAGTTTAAGAGCCACGAGGTTATACTGCAGCTCTGTAAAACCCTGGTTAGACCACAGTTGGAATATTGTTCAGTTCTGGTCACCTCATTATAGGAAAGATGTGAAAGCTTTAGAGAGGGTGCAGAGGAGATTTCCCAGGATGCTGCCTGGACTGGAGGGCTGGTCTTCTGAGGAAAAGTTGAGGGAGCTAGGGTTTTTTTCATTGGAGCGAAGAAGGATGAGAAGTGATTTGAGAGAGGTGTATAAGATGATGAGAGGCATGGATAGAGTAGATAGTCAGAGACTTTTTCCCAGGGCAGAAATGACTATTATGAGGGGACATAATTTCAAGATGTTTGGAGGAAGGTATAGGGGAGATGTCCGAGGTAGAGAGTGGTGGGTGCGTGGAATGTGCTGCAGGCAGTGGTAGTGGAGTCAGACACATTAGGGACATTTAAGCGACTCTTGGATAGGCATATGGATGATAGTAAAATGTAGGGGATGTAGGCTAGTTTGATCTTAGAGTAGGATAATAGGTCGGCACAACATTGTGGGCCGAAGGGCCTGTACTGTGCTGTACTGTTCTATGTTCTCACAGCAGTGAGGCACAAAGAAAGGGCTGTGCCTGTGCAGAGTACAAACATGGCTTAAATCTGGATGCCATTTGTTCCTGAGTCTTTGCTTATTGGATTTTAATAGGACACAGATTAAGGAAGGTTTAGTTCTAAATCTGTTATTCACGGCTCCATTAACAGCTAATTGTATTTTAATGGTACCCATCAAAAGACCAATCAGATGAATGATGCTGAGCCAAAATCCTGCAGGTGCAGGAAGGCTGCACTTTAAATGGAATTACTGACAGCATGCAGCCGATGCCATGGAGAGAGAAACAGGGGTCTATCATTGCAACTCGATGACCCTTCATAATGCTGTCGATCATAGCAGGGTTTCAATCGGGAATCTGTTTGCTTTCACATTTCTCAGCTGGTAGATTTGTTCAAATGAAAGGAAAACCAAACGAGAACTCAGTTTTCATGTAGCAAGAACTAAACTGACATCTCTCAGAAGCAGCTCGCATGTCCTTTGAGGTTGCCTAATAGTTCTGGGCATTAGTTAACTGTGGGAGATGGTGTGAAATGCTCTCACTATCAAGCGAAGCCCCCATTGTCCATTCCAATGAAGTCACTGGCAGGGTAGGTCAGCAGTGGTGTGTGAGAGATAAGGCCACAGTTTCCATGAACTCTGGGACCGTTTGTTTGTCTGTGAGTTCTCTATCCGGAGTGAGTTGCCATCTTTCAAACCCACACAGGAACAGAATCAGAGCAGAAAGAGAGGCAAGTGAACATCTTGGAGAGGGATTGGGAATGCCAAGGCTGAATGTGGAGAGATTTCAGAATGTTGCAACGTCACTACAGGGGCGGGAGATGATGAGCTAAGGAAAGTGATTGCAGGGACTGCTGAATGTTGCTACGCAGAGTGTCCCAGTGGTTTCAGGGAATGTTGGGATGGAGAATTGCAGTTAGAAATCGGACAAGATGGGGAATGCCCAGAAGGAGGTGGCGACTATCGGGATAGGGGTGAGGGATGCCGGGATCAGGATGGTAGATGACAGCATGGCGTGAGTAATGTCACGACAGGGATGGGCATGGGAAATGTCAGATAGGTGTAATGTGGCTCAGGAGGAGGAATGTTGAGATAGGGCTGGGCAGTGTCAGGATAAGGAATTGGGAATGTTGGGATATGGGTGGGATGATCACTGGGGAGATGTAGATCGTGCAGAATGACTGATGGGAGGGAAAATGTGACCGAGGGAGGTTGAGTGGGGAGGGTCTCTGAAGTGCTCAGTGAGAGAAGGGAGCTGGCCATGAGAGGGAGGGGTGCATGTTACCAGGGAGAGTTTGACAAGGCCCCATAATGTCAAGAAGAAGAGTAACAAGTGACATGATGAGTAGGATACAGCACTTTAAAATAAAATTTAATCTTTTAAATTCTTAAGTGAGAAATTGAGGAAAAAGGTTAAACCAGGCAGGTTTGTGAATTGTTTTATAATTCAGAGTGGTCACAGGGGTCAATCAGTGAGAGCTTGTACTGTCACAGTCTGGTGCCAACAACACAGCACATCACTGCCCTCTGATGTCTGCTGTTGGGTTGACACCTCAATTGGCTTTGAAATGTAATCACATGTACAGTTCAGGGTCATATCAGAACAAAGGTAAACCACATGTCATGAGTGAAGATCAACTTATGCAA